CCAAGCTTCTAAATTTTAATAATTCACTGCCATTCCTTTGTTCCCCTAACCCTTTGCATAGTACATGCTTCCTATAGTTACTAATTCAACACTCTTTTGCCTTTTCAGTTGTTTAATAACTGATAACAATTTTTCATATCAAATTAATTCTGTTAAAATAATTACTGTGGTTTGTTTTTTACTAGACCCAAACTGATATATCTATTAATATTACATAACTATGTATAAATGTAAAATCAAACAACAAAATTGGATACTAGGTCTGAGGCCAATTCAAACTGCTAAGAAAAACCTATATCTCAACAGGCTGCACCCATTTGTAAGATGCTATTTATAGACAACAGAATGTTATTAGCAACTTTCCTATAAACACACACATAAAGACATGTGCATATATATTACAAATGACTTACATAGTAAAAAAAGACACTAAATATTTCTAATTTTTCTATTATAAATGAAACTTCAATAAAATTCTTACGTGCACACCTTTTCATATTTTTGTTTGTGTATATATCCCACCATTTAATATTTCTTGAGAACCTGTTATATACAAGCCACCATGTTAAATACTAGGAATACAACTGTGCAACAGACAAATAACATCTCTCCTTTCATAAAACTTGAAGCCTGTCTCCTCAGGATAGATACTACCTTAAGTTGTACCAATCTGCATTCCTACTAACCAGCTTCGGTAAAGGTCTATTTGCTCACAACCCAATGTTTGCCAATGTGATATATAAAAAATTATATTTCACTGTTGTTTTAGAATGTGTACTTTTTTATTAGAAGTAGCAAACGTCTTCATATTTTTCACAGAAAAGTGCTTCCTTATTCACAGCACTTTTTTTTCCCCACTTGATAATGTATGTTTTTAATCTATGACATAATCATACATTCTGCTGAGGTTAAATTAATAACTATAACCATCAAAATGACAAAAATGGCTGAGTCTATCCTAGTTCCTTACATGCATCATTTTTTAATCCCTACAAAGGCTTAATAAAGCAGTATTATTTTTGCATTTTAGCCCACTAGCTTGTAATTGTGAAGTCTGTAAGGACAGAATCCATATTTACTTTGTTTACTTCTGCAATTACAATAGAGTATGAATAAATCTTCACAACAAATTGAGGAGATAATAAGCACGACTACTGTGGACATTTTACAGATGAAGAATAGAAAGATGAAGTAACAAGACTACAACAGCAAGTAAATAGTGGAGCTGGGATTTGGTTCTGTGCAATCTTGGCCAAAACCTATGTTCTTAATCACTATACATATTGCCAAGGTGATTTTAAGACTTTTGTTACAAAACTTTCTTCAAATAAAACTTTTATGACTTTGTTATATTCTTGCTCTACAGGTATTTAACAATTTATGATTAATTACACAAGTAAGTTAAAGATACATGCATTTTAAACAAAAAAAATTAACAAGGGTTGGAATCAAACAGGGAACAATTCACATAGAAAACTGAACTTACACACTTCAGCAAACAACAGAATTGTAGAAGTAGCAAAAAGGGAATATGGACTTCTAAATCTAAATTAAAACAACAAAAATAATAGCAAAAATTTAAATGCCATGTGCTGTCTGTTCTAAAATATTTTATATATATATTAGCTCATTTAATCCTTACAAAAATCTTATGAGGCTGATTCCTATTTTATCGATGGGCAATTTGAGGCACAAAAAAAAGCAATGTGCTCAAGGTCACACAGCTAATAAGGAGATATAAACCCAGGCAGTCTGGCTCTAGAATTTGTGCCAAAATTACTATGCTATACAAATAATAAGTTTATACTGCTAGAAGACACTGACATTGAACTGAAGGGTTTGCACTTTCCAGAATACAGACTACCTTTATAATCCCAGCTTTTGACAATGACCACAGTTTTTGGCTGTAGATTAGTTAATATAAACTCATATATTTTATATTAGTTAATATAAACTCATAATAGTTTTAAAACAATGTATAGCTTTCAGATGAAAGTCTATATTGTATGTCTATAAAGCTCAACACAATGTAAATTGCTATGGTACACAAAAGTTATTTTAGCCATGATAAACCAATGTTATTATACCTCACATTTTCAGGAATGATACTAATAGGAATGAAAAACAGAGTTTAATTTCAATTGCCATCAACAGGACATTTAACACAATAAGTTTTTCTATTTGTATTAATTTTTTTTTCTTTAGCTGAGCCATCCTGCCACCTGTTGGGAGCTCAACTCGGGTTGGGAATCAAACCAGCGACCCTGTTGCTCAGAGCTCACAATCTCGAGTGAGCTCTTAACCAACTGAGCCACTCGACCGGCCCTATTTGTATTAAATTTTAATGTAACAGGAATCCATACTATAACCACTTTATTATAGCAGCTGAGACTCAAAACCATACTTTGAAGACCTAAGATGTCATAAAAAAAATCACTACAGGCATTTTCAAAGATTGGTGTTTATATTACACCTTTCAAGAATTTCCACTCCATTCTAAGCTATGTAGAAATATTTGGAAGCACAATCAAGAAAAGAAATTAATTTATCTCATGGCAATTTAATATCTTAGTCCCACTTCACTGGTCACATCCTATGATTCTGATGATTCAGAAACATGGCTACTCTCTTTCCAAACTATTACAAGCATAAACCTATGCTTTCTAACATACTGCATCTAACATTAGCATTAGATATAAACTCATCTATTTAATGAAAACTGCTATTATTAAACATTGTTAATATTAAAAAAGCATATTGTTCTGGCTAACTAAATAACACATGTTTTATATAATAGTTATGTTATATTTCATATAAAATATCATTTTTTTAAAAATTGACACCCATGTTACATAAATAATGTACCTACACCCATATAACTTGCATATTCTTATCAGAAAATTATCTTAAATGCTGACATTTTGGTGTGTATTAAAGATGTACTAAAATCAAAAGTAATTCAATTTTTTTGGTAAGAAGATATTTAAATAGGTAATTTTTTTAAGAATAAAATATATTAAAAAACATATTATGAATAAAAGCAAAACTGGGATGACAAACTACTAAGCTGAATTACATTTTGTTATACTTAATTGCAATGGACAATTACAAGGAAAAATTTACTATCACTTTTGCTACTTAGAAAAATGGGCATTCTACATTTAACCTATGTAGCTTTTAAGTACTACTACAAATTATGATCTGTAAAAAGCAAACCAAAACGATTTTTCAAAACTCAATGAAAACAATCAATAAAACACACAAGGGTTTACATTCCTTAACTAAATATTATAAATATAGCATTAGGCAAAACAGAAGATTTAGTAATGAAGCAATTTAACACATTTTACTTCATCTTTGATGCCTTATTTCCAAAGAACCATATCCCTGTCTTTAAAACAAAAAAAGATGCAGGCAGCTCCATCAGAATTACACCCTCTGACTCCACTGTTTTAGAAGTGGGAGGGTCTTCTATAAGGCACTTCCAGAACATACCAAGCCTACACTCAACTTAGATGACTACCAATGTGTAGATTCCACAGTAAACTGACAACCCAGAATATCTGTACACCACATACTTTGTCAGAAAGACTAAACTGGAGTTTACTACTTACCAATAGTTATTCAAAGATTTTAAATATAAACATAGTTTTGGGGTACTTTCCCAAAATTATGTATTAATAATATGTAATTATTCATATTATTAATAATTAATAGTGGGTTAATATAGTTGATATATTGGTTAATAATAAACTATCGATACTGATATTGGTATTACTATCAAAACTTATCCAAAGATCAGAGAAATAATGTTTTTGGATAAGTATTGCTAAATAGCAAACTCCAGATTCTTCTTCCTGACAAAATATCTGGTGTATGGATATTCTGGATTGCCAATATTATTTCTCTTACCTAATCTTTGATAATATTTTATGTAATATGTATATCTATATTGCATCCAATTCTATTAATAGTCAAAAATTTATCTATCTATCCTGGGATTAAATCAGACCAATACAGAGCAAAATACCCAAACATTATTTGGGGCCCCAGATAACTGTTCTGATTAAACAGTACTTTGCCATCCAGTGACATTATTATTTAAGGATGTAAAACATTAAATACTCTATATTTTGAAAACTGACACCCATATATGACTTATTAAACTCCCTTTTTTTACTTAGGATAAGCCACCCTGCACATTATCCTTTATTTAAAAATGCACAGTTGCTTAAGAGAAACTTCTGGAGTCTGGGTTCATATAACTGATCACATAGCCTTCGTTCCATTAGCTACAAAAAAGCAAATCTGTGGTTTACCTTTGACTAATAAAAATGATTACATGACATGCACTGGTAAACTTTTAATTCCTCTGCCACTGTTATTTACTTAGTCTTTAGGAGTTCCTTGATTAAACATTTTTATGTTGAAATGTATTTATTTACATAGATGCCATAAGATTTTATGGAACAAGGTGAAATAAGACAGTGAAGTCACTAAAAAAAATTAACCAATAAATGAAAAAATGAATACTTAATGAACATTATGAAAAATCTTACTGAAATTCAACAATGAAAAGCTTACCCTAATAAAGTATGGATATTTATCCATTTGTTATGCAAATATAAACATAAAGTAGCTTCCTTCCAAGTAAAAAGGCTTATTTCAAAATATTTAAGTATAACAATGATCATATTTATAATTCACTTGACAGGATTATTTCAAGTAAAATCTATTTTTGTTATTATAATTTAACAAAGTTCATTTTTTATATTAGAAATAACTATTTTTAAGACTAAAATTAGTAAAGTTTAAAGGATGCTACAAAATGTAACCTGTAATATGTCAAAGGAGTAATCTGTGAAAATGAGATAGATGTATACATATGTGTATAAAGGATACTATCAAATATAGCATTTTATCTTTTTTTGTAAAGTATATGTAAAATACAAACTATTATTTCATGTAAAAATGGTAGGGGAACAAAGGTGCATACTTACCCTTCTCCTCCCATTCTTGTTATCTTTAGGCGAAAATCCACAGAATTCAGACTGGGAGGTTTCCATTTCAAAATATCATCACATCGACCAGGTTTATATTTCTAAAGTAAATTAAAATGATAATAGTTAATAAGAAGCTAAAGAAATAAACATTTCATTATTAAATATAAGATCAATTGCTTTTTATTAAGCAAAATCACTATTTTTTTTCTGAATATAATTTTCATTTTCAACCAATGAGTGAAGCTAGGGCATCTACCTTCTTATTGAAGGCCTTTCTCCTTTCTCTGCCAAAGTATGCAGACCATTGTTTGTGAAAGCCCAGAAAAATAATGAAACTTGTTATTCTTTCCAACCTTTCTATGGCTTTAAGCAAGTCTGATCATTTTTTAAATTTTTTGTTTTTTCTTGTTCAGCTTTATTGTGGGATAATTTATAATGAATAAAATTAACCAATAAATTAGGCAATCAATAATGTGATCGTGTAACCATCACCAACATCATGATACATAGCATTTTAGTCACCTAAAAAGTTTCCTCCTGGCATCTGCAGTCAATTTCCTCCAACCAACTGGCAACAGTGACCTTCTTTCTATCACTATAGTTTTGCCTTTTCCAGAATTCTTAAGAAATTCTTAACATCAGGTTTTTCGATTTATCTATGCTAGTATATATATCAGTAGTCTGTTCCTTTTTATTACTAAGTATAATTCCATTTTATGCACAGACCACAAATTATTCATGCATTTACAAGTCGATGGGTAGTTGGGTTGTTCCCAGTTTCAGGCTATCATGAATGATGCTGCTGTGAACATTTGTGTGGACATGTCTTCATAACACGCAGGTAAAATGGCTGGGTCAAAAAGGGCCAGTGACGCTGCGCCCAAGCTGAGTTGCCACTGAGCTGCCAACAGGCGGCAGGATGGCTCAGCTGGTGAGAGCACGTGCTCCTAACAAGACTGCCTGTTCGATGGTGGGCTACACCCGCCGGCAACTAAAGACTGAACTCAGCACCTTGAGCTGAGCTGCCACCCAGATGGCTCAGTGGATAGAGCGTGCGCTCTTAACAACAAGGCTGCTGGGTTCAAATCCCACATGGAATGGTGTCTATGCCCACCGGCAATTAAGACTGAACTCGGCACCTTAAGCTGAGCTGCTGCCCAGATGGCTCAGTGGATAGAGTGTGTGCTCTCAACAACAAGGCTGTTGGTTCGACTCCTGCATGGGATGGTGGCTACGCCCACCCGCAACTAAGATTGAACACAGCACCTTGAGCTTAGAGGCCACGAGCTGCTGCCGGGCAGCCAGATGGCGACTCGCACCCTCCACAACTAAGATTGAAGAACAACTTGGCTGGTCCCCCTCCCCAATTCCCCAACACTGTTCCCCTCACCCAATTCCCCAATTAAAAAAAAATGGCTGGGTCACATGGTAAATGTATATTTAACTTTAAAAGAAACTGTCAAATTATTTTCCAAAGTGGCTGTAACATTTTCCATTCCCACCAGTGATAAATGAGAAGTTGATTTGCTTCATATCCACCCTAGATCTAGGTATTGTCAGTCTTTTTAATTCTAAATTTTTAAGTGTGTATAATTTTAATTTGTATTTCTCTAATGACAAAAGATGTTGAAGATCTTTTAATAGGCTTATTTGCTATCTGTATATCTTCTTTGGTGTAGTGCCTGCTCAAAGTTTCATCCTTGTTTTTACTGGGTAATCTTATTATTAACCTGCACGAGTTGTTTACATTATATTTTGGGCAATAGCCTTGGTTGGATATATATATATATTGCAAATATTTTCTACCAGCCCTTATCTTGCTTTTTTCATTCTCTTAATTTCTTTTGAAGAGTAAAGTTTTTTATTATTTTAATGAAGTCAAAATCATTTTTCTTCCAGCTTTATTGAGGTATGATTGAGAAATAAAAAATTTAAGGTGTACAACATGTTTTGACATATGTATACATTGTGAAATGATTACCACATCAAGCTAATTAACATATCCATCATCTCACATAGGTACTTTTTTGTGTGCTTGGTGAGAACATTTAAGATCTACTCTCTTAGCAAATTTCAAGTGTACGTTATTAACCATACTCACTATGCTATACATTAAGTCTCCAGAACTTATTCATCTTATAACTGAAAGTTTTTACCTTTGATCAATATCTCCTCTTTTTCTCTACCCCCCAGCCTCTGGTAACCATCATTCTACTCTTTATTATGAGTTCAACTTTTTTTTTAAGATTTCATATATATGTGAGATCATGCAATATGAGGTGTGATCGAACAACATGGTAAATGTCTAAATTTAAAAAAATTTATTACAGTAAAAGACACATTGCCATTAATCCCCTCGAAATACTCCCCCTCGCTTTGAACACACTTATCCCATCGTTCTTCCCACTTTCTGAAGCAGTTCTGGGAGCCCTCTTTCGTGAGTGTCTTTAGCTGCACTGTCCTGGCTGCCTCGATGTCCTGAATCTATTCAAAACGTTTTCCTTTCATGGTCATTTTGACTTTGGGGAAGAGCCGGAAGTCGGAAAGTGCCAGATCCAGTGAATAAGGTGCATGAGGACACACCGTAATGTTTTTATTTGACAGAAATTGCCATATACCACAAGAAATGTGTGACATGGAGTGTTGTCATGAAGGAGGATGAAGTAAAGACACTTACGAAAGAGGACTTCCAGAACTGCTGCAGAGAATGGCAAGAATGATGGGATAAGTGTGTTCAAAGCGAGGGGGTGTATTTTGAGGAGGATTAATGACAATGCGTCTTTTACTGTAATAAATTTTTTAAAATTTGAACATTTACCATATTGTTTGATCACACTTCATATTTGTCTTTCTGTGACTGGCTTATTTCACTTCACGTAAGGCACTCCAGGTTCATCCAAGTTGTCACAAATTGCAGAATTTCCTTCTTTCTTAAGGGTGAATAATATTCTATTGTACAATATATGAATACCATATTTTCATTATTCATCCCTCCACAGACGCTTAGATTGTTTCCATATTTTGGCTGCTGTGAATAATGCTGCAGTAAACATGAGAATGCAGATATCTCTTCAAGATACTGATTTTATTTCTTTTGGATACATACACCCAGCAGTGGGATTGTTGGATCACATGATAGTTCTGTTTTTAATTTTTTGAGGAAACTCCATGCTGTTTTTCATAACAGCTCTATCAATTTACATTCCCACCAAAAGTGCACAAGGGTTCCCTTTTCTCCACATCCTCACCAACATGTCCTCTTTTGACTTTTTGATAATGACCATTCTAACAGGTATGACAATACCTCACTGTGGTTTTGATTTACGAGGTCTGCCAATTAAGTTGGTGAACTTGTTGCAACTATGTTGCTAACCGTTTTTGATATCAGGGGGAATATTCATTATGAATTTGTACCAAGTGGACAGTTAACCAAGTTTACTATTTGAAAGTGCTGAAAACAGGCTGCGTGACAAAGTCAGACGACCTGAACTTTAGGCCAACAATTCATGGCTCTTGAATCTCGGCAATGCACCAGCTCACACGGCACTGTCTGTGAGGGAGTTTTTAGCCAGTAAACAAATAACTGCCTTGGAACACCCTACCTACTCACCTGATCTGGCCTCTAATGACTTCTTTATTTACCCAAAGATAAAGGAAATATTGAAAGGAAGACTTTTTTTTTTTTTTTTAGCTGAGCCATCCTGCCACCTGCTGACAGCTCGGCGGCAGCTCAGCTCGGGCCGGCCATCGAACCGCTGTTGCTCAGAGCTTGCACTCTTGAGCGAGCTCTTAACCAACTGAGCCACTCGGCCGGCCCTGAAAGGAAGACATTTTGATGACATTCAGGACATCAAGGATAATACTATGACAGCTCTGATGGCCATTCCAGAAAATGAGTTCCAAAATTGCTTTGGAGGGTGGACTAGGCACTGGCATTGGTGCATAGCTTCCCAAGGAGAGTACTTCGAAGGTGACCATAGTGATATTCAGCAGTGAGGTATTTAGCACTTCTTCTAGGGTGAGTTTACGAACTTAATTGTCAGACCTCGTATATATCTGATGATTCATGATGTTGAGCATCTTTTCAAAATCATCAATTTTAAATTCTTATAATTTGTGTTTCCAGTGCTCTCTTTAAGGAATCTTTGCCTATCCTGCAAAGGTCTCTGCAATTTTCTACTATGTTTTCTGAAAGAAATCCTATGGCTTTAGCTCTTATTTTTAGGTATATGATCCATTTGCAGTTAATATATTTATATGGTGTGAAGTCAGGATCTAGGTTCACTGTTTGGCAGATGGATATCAAATTGACCCAACACCATTTGTTAAAAATATTATCCTTTTCACACTGAGTTGCCTTGGCACCTTTGTCAAAACCAATTATTTAAAGATACAGAGATATTTCTATTCTCACTAATGTGTTACATTGATAAACATGCCTTTCCTCCTGCTAGTAGCACACTGTCTTGATTACTGTAGCTTTATAACAAGTTTTGAAAAGAAGAGTTTTTTTTCTTTTTTTTTTTTTTAGCTGAACCATCCTGCCACCTATTGACAGCTCAGTGGCTGCTCAGCTCGGGCCAGGACTCAAACTGCTGTTGCTCAGAGCTCAAACTCTTGAGCAAGCTCTTAACCAACTGAGCCACTCGGCCGGTCCTTGGTCTTCTTTTCCAAACTCTCTTATCTAATGCAGCATTTACATTTCCATACAATTTTAAAATCAGCTTGCCAATTTCTATGAAAAATAAGTCTACTGGGACTTTAATTAGGACTGCACTGAATCAATAGATCAATTAGGGGAGAAATAACATCTTAACAATACTGAATCTTCCAATCCATGAATACTACAAATCTCTCCTTTATTTAGTTATTCCTAAATTTCTCTCAGCAATATTTTGTAGTTTTCATTATACAGGTCTTGCATAGCTTTTGTTAAATTTATTTCTACTAATTTAATATTTTGGGGGTATTATCAAGGTAAACAATCAGTTGTGTTCCTATAAAACAGCAATGAACAATCCAAACACAAAAGAAGGCAATTCCATTTACAATGGCATCTACAATCACAAAATACCTAGGAATTAATTTAAGGAAGTGA